GGAAAACTCAGATTCGAAAATTTTCACGATCTTAATACTTTCCCTTATTATATATTTCATATATAGGTAAGTGTAAGTAATATAGTTTTTCGAGTTTCCTGAAAAAAAATATAAATAATAATTAGGGTTCACTTTGTAAATAAACGATTCTAATGAATCTTCTCTGTAGATAGAATAAGAAAAACTTAGCTTAATCCATATAACAGTTTATTTATTTATCATATTTATGTAACCATAAGACTTGGACAAGTTCAAATGAAAATTCTAAACCACGATCAATGTACAAGAATGGAAGCAGAAGCCATTTTCCTTTCACATTTTAATAACAAACCAAAAATTACAGTTGATTTAGATGGAGCAAGCAGCAGAAGGGGCTTAAACGAAGTCAGCAATTGTTGAGTCGGTCATTGAGGACATGGGGGACTTGTATGGGAGTAATGAAATCAGCGAATGTATATATTAATTTAGTTAGCTAAAGGGGGGAGGGGCTAGGAAATAAATCCACTCCAAGTTCCGGCCATTTTTGCTCCTATTCTTAGCGAGGGCTTTATCCGTGGCTGATATATCTGTTCTATTTGCACAACAATGGCGACCGGTCGAGGTTTTGTCTTCGTTTCACAATAGGTCCGCCGCGTTACCGTCCGTTCTAACTAGCTCCCTCATATCAATCCCATCTTTATCTTTTATGTTGTGCTCTGCATATATATGTTTATATATACATATGAGGTTGTGCTCTGTCCTTATTTCCTCTAATGTCATTTACAAATAGAAAATAACTTTATTATGGGACAAACTCCCTTTAGAATAACGAAATTGGTACAAAAATTACATCTGACCTAAATAAAAACAATAACGAAAAAAGATAAAGTAAAGAAAATATTAGTTAAACAAGCTATATAAAAAAAAAAAGTATGGATCTTAAAACTATGTACAGTAGGAAAAATTATAATTATACACTTTTGAGATAAAATATAATAAAAAATACATTGAGTTCTTTAAAATTTGCTCTTTGTTTCAGCTAACAATGGAAAGACGAATCTGACGATATAAAACTTCAGAGTATTTAAATAATAAATAATATATAAACACATCAGTATCTGATTGTAGCTACAGGTACAGATTTAATTGTATAAGAATAAAAAAAAAAATAAAAAAACAAACAATAGATCCCTTAAGTGGCATTGAGAGTAGGAAGATATTGTAAAATCCCTACTGAAGTTTACAGTATGGACTCATTTGATGATGAATGATATCATAGAAACGTATAATTTCAAAAGCTTAGCAAGTATCTGAATCTCTCTATATATATAGATAGATAGAAATTAAACTTTATTCTGGGACAAGGTCCTTTATGAATGACAGATATGAAGAAAAAAATAAAAACTACATCTGGCCAAAAATTACACTAGTCAATATTAAAGAATATATAGTATCTTCAGTAAAATTAAATTAAAACAAGTAAAAATAACACCATTTTGAAAAGAAGCATTATATAAATGAAAAGAGAATTTTTAAAATTAAAACTCTATCAATTTTAACAACCATTCAGCTCAGTCAAAATCTGTTTCGCAATATTTATTTCATTGTATAACGTCATTTTGGGATGTGAGAAGGAATTGGTAAAGATGATATTTAAATGAGGACAAGGAAAGGGCAGGTCGGATTTCAGAAGGCAAGTAATTCCAGAAGGCAGTGGATCGGGCAATAAAGGAATATTCAAAAGTCTTAGTTCTATGGGAAGGCATATAACGGTCGGAAACACGGGATCTTGTTTTCTGGGAGTGGACCACGGGCTTGAACTGTAGGTGACTGTAGATATAGGAAGGGTGTCGGGTGTTGATCGTTTGGAATAGGAAAGATCCAAGGAAATATTGTCTGCGGAAAGAAGGGAAGAGCCACTTTAACTCCTCGTAAAGGTGGGACACATGAGACCGCCTCGAAGTACCGAAGACAAAGCTTAAGCAAGTATATTTACTAGTGAGAACTCACATTATGTAACTATTATTCTCCATAAGCGAAACATATTTATTTATAAATGCAACGTAACAATATCAAGATAGCATTTTTAAAAAACACATTAGATGAAGCTTCGTACTTCTTCATTCTTACGAAGCTCCATAGTTTATCAAGATCTTTAAAATAACTACTTTCGAAGTCATTATTTTAAGAAGAGTCTCTGTAATTTATAATATTTTATTTTACGTCATATGCCTAGAAAAGCTTTACTAAATTCATCTCTATAATTACAAAACATTATTAATTATTAACATTGACAATTTAGGTTATTATTGAAATAATTCCAAACCACATATATTGTTCTTTTTAGCCTTATTAAGACCAGAGACATGAATCGCGGCTATCCAAAATATATTACACCAAAATATTTGAGTTAACTTCACTCCTCGACTAACTTAAAACAATATGAAACATTTTTTACATTAGAGTTATTAGATTATTTTTTATTTACTTATTATTAAAGTGAAGAGGTGATGTGGTCATTAATCAAGCCCCCCTGAAGTGGTGAAAGGTGAAGTCCCCCTTCCTCCCCCCCTCCGACATTGCGGAGTTGCGAAGAGACCCAGGAGGGCTGACCCATTTCAGGGCCAATATCCGACAGAGTGAAGAGTAAAGAAAACTCCCTAGCTAGGGCCCGCCTCTCTTTGGTCCTCTATAAATGTTAGTTAAGAGAAGAGTCTCTAAAAGCAAACTAAACATCTATTTATTTGAAAGGAAAAAGTATTTAAATCGACCAATTTGTTATATAAACTACAATTTACCAATAATATGTTATTTTCGGAGCTCATTTTCTGATAAGGTACAAATATTGTATTTTTGATTTATTGTTTTCAACAATTAACCATTGTAATCGAACAAAAACTTAACCCCTCCTCCCTCAAAATTTGAGGTTTTACGTTACGTAGAATTCGAAAAACGAATCTATTTTTTTTTAAATGAGAAAATTTTGAATTACATGTAAAAGCAGATTATCCCTGAAGATGCCTGAAGAGGAGAAAATTTGGATAAATTAGAAATAAAGTTATTATTTATCGAGACTGAAAAGGCCTTTTTCTTCTAATTATTATGAAACCGCGATTTGTACAACTATGGTTAATTCTCAATCTTGTAAATAAGACTATTGGATGTTGGAGATCCATGGGCTTAGAGAGATGGTAGGTTGGATAGTGAAATGATCTTTGTCTTTTGAATCTAACTCCGAAGCGTATCTACCCTGCTATTCACTAATGAAGTATTTTTTAACCCATCTAGAAATTTCCTGTAAAGGTAGTTTCGCAGTTTTCTCTCTTACGGAGCACCGTTTTGCTATAGTATTAACTCGTTCATTCCCGTATAAATCCATTGACCTAGAATCCATTGAACCTTTTCTTGTTTTTATTTATGATATTTTCAACTGTATTCAGAAAAAAATGCATTAAGTAAATCTGATAACACAAAATAATAACATGAAAACACTTGTTGAGAAACTACCCACTGGTAACACTCTAAAAAAAAGGTGTATTAACTATAGAAGATATCGAGACCATCTTCTTTTAAGACACCTCAGAGGATTATCAAGGATCGAATAGGAAGCAAGGTTAGAAAACAGAGGGTTGGGATGGTTCTGAAGTTTATTATGGAAGGATAGGTATCTGGATTGGGCCAAATCGGAAACATAAGGAACATTAATGTAGTTATGCATGATTTTATCAGAGATAAAATAAGGAGCAGAGAGGATTTTACGAAAGGGATTGTAAGGATTGAATACGAGAGAAATTCGATGGCTCTGTGGAGCCCCATAGCTCAACTCCGTAAGTCCAAATAGGCCTTATTATAGTCATATATATGAGTCGTTTGTAATTGATTGAAAGCTTATAGCGTTTGTCTAGTAAGTGTTGGAGTAGTCGAAAACGTCGAGCGGTTTTTTGTCTTTTTAATCTGGTATGAGGATTCCAAGTTAGATGTTTGTCCAAGTGGAGTCCAAGGTAGCGAATTTGTTCAACAGGGATAAGTGGGGTATTATTAAAGGACATTGTAGGACAGGAAGTCATAGGTTTACGACGAAGGGCAAAGGTGATTTGACGGGATTTATTGGAATTTATTTTAATGCTCCAGTTTTGACACCATTCTTCAAGGTTTGTGATATGTGATTGGAGAGTTTGGGACGCAATTGATGACTCATTATTAACTGAGAGGATACATGTGTCATCGGCATACATGGTGATGACAGTGTTAGGATGGGTTGGAATGTCAGCTGTATAAACTGTATAAAGAATAGGACCTACCTTGACGAACACCAGCGGACTGGGAAAACCATTGAACCTTAAACTTATTATTTGTAGAATGATGAACTTCTTCTATTATGTTGCTTATTAGGTAAGATGATATATGTTGTCGATTTATGTTTTTGAGTGAATTGCATACGGAAGCAGAATCTTTTAGAATCATGATTTTTGTTTTTTTTAGGTTTATAGATGAATCCTGATTATATTGGACGTCATATAGCCCGATTGCAACTTTTTTTTTATCTTTAGATGCATCTGTAAAGATTTTGTGATGATTTTTATACTTTTCGAACATTATTTCATGTGTTTTCTGTTTTAGAACTATTGTTGGATAATGAATTTCGGGCAACTCTGATTAGTATATTTTGGGCTTGGTTTTTATAATGATTTGTGACTTTGGAATGGGTAAAATTTTCGAATACATTTTTCTGAATTTCGACATTATTTATTGAAGAAAGTTCATCAAAATCAACCAAACCCTTTTGTATAACAAATGTTGTCACGATCAGAGTGTGATGTCCTGATTTAACGAGTAAATAGTGTTGGCTAAATAAATATAATTTGTGGGTTTTATTTACCTCTTGAACGATTAAAATTATCAAGATTAAATTTATCCAATTTGTGAATTAATCAACTTGACAGAAAGGGTTAATTAATTTTACGTATTATTTATTATAATATATTTTTCATAATAATATATCATAATTGACAGATACTCACAATTAACGTTGAGTGATATCCTCTTGCTTACTGCTGGAGGTACGTCGTTGCTAGCTATGCAAAGGTAAGCTCCCATCTGACTTCTATCAACGTTAGACAGTACCAACCTTTCTCCACTGTGTGTTTCCACTGAAACATATAATTATTTATTTCTAATGATTTCACTAAGGATAATTTCTAATTATAATGTAGAGATAAACTGGATAAATAGAGATATACATAACATAGTTCTGACATTTGCGTAGTTGATTACAGTCTTTAAGCTAACAAATATCAGTGCAATCTTCCTTAAAGAAGAAAAGATTTAAATTTCAATTTCACAACTTCTGAACGATGAAGAAATATTTTTAGTATATGGTTCAGAACTCTTCACATGAAAACAGAATGACTAACTCTAATTTCATCATTTTTTATTAATGTTATTTTAGTGATATTTATAGTTGGAATCTGTATGGAATCTGGAATAATATATGTACAGACAGTGAGTAAGTTCATTCCAGAGTAGGTGATTACAGTGTTGAAATATAGAACTATGAATAAAGGTATAGATTTTTTCAACAGAAATATCACTAAAATTAATAATAAAAAATGTTAAAATTGGAGTTCTGTCAACTGAAAGGCTCTTAGTGTTATGTAATAAATATAGACATGGATTTTAGAAATACAATTTTATGTTTACAATTACAATTTATGGTATAGTGTTAAATTGAAATTTCTGAATTTAATAGTTTAAATCTTTATGTAATGTTGCCTTTTACAACAGGACCTTACTATACCATTTGTCTTAAACCTTATCAGAGAAAAACCTTTTGAATTTCACCAGATCCTTACATACTATCCAAATCCCCTTCTGGCTCCACACACCCCTACAATCCTTGAAGGTTGAAGCTACAGAGGCCCCGAAACTTTTTATAATATGCATATATTGAAATTCTGGTAATGACCAGATTCTTTACTCACGCTATGTACGTCTAGTTAGCCATATTGCGCCTCGCTGTCTCGCAACAATCTTACAGTTATATATTCGCTTATCATTATAGAGATATTACTGTAATTTTTCAGGTACGGGACATCAAACTAAGCCCAAATGCAAGAGAAGAGTTAAATGCAACAGTATTTTGTTTATATCAATTCTTTACAAATAATAACTAAAATTATCTGCAAAAAGTAACTAAAAATAAGTATTAGTGATCAAGTATTTTGCCTTAATTTTTATTCACAAAAACGATTTTTTTCTTACCAGTCTTGGTCTTGTCTTGCAGCATTCAGGCGATCTTAGTCTTGGTCTTGTAAAGTTATTTTGATAAAATTAAGTTTCTTTTTGTCTAAGTTTATTTATTTATTTGAAGTATTATTTTTTTATTTAATTGAATTAGTGGTACTTGTTTAATAGCGGGTAGCGTCAAAACCTCCCTTGTTATCTAATCTTATTTCACATAACCTCCCTTATCTTCTCTAACCTAAGTTATTCCCTTGTTTATTTTTTGTTCCTTGTGTAAGATATGAGTTAGTCTTATTTAATTATGGATGTTGTCACGTTGTGGGAATTGAAGTCATCAGAAGAAGAGGCTATCGAATATTTTTAAGAAGATGTGATATATGCAAAGGTGAAATATTGTGATGAAGGTCATCTAATGAAATTCGACAGGAAGATTAAATGGAGATGCTTTCGTAGTTGTAACAAAACCGTTTCTGTAAGGAAAGGAACATGGTTAGAGAGATCGAGGATTTCATTTTTGACGATTTTAAAATTTACTTATGGGTGGTCCCATAATTTAAAAACAATAGTGGGGGAAAGAGCAGCTCAAACTATCCCAGCCAACTATGGTAACGTGGAACAAATTTTTAAGAGAGGTTTGTGCCCATAACAATTCATACAGGTCAAGTAAAAAAATTAGAGAGCCTGGGAAAATTGCAAATTGCCTATTTTTATTATTTAATTTATTTTTATCTATATTACAATGTTTTTTAATTATATGTACAATGTTTTGGTCTATTTAATATATATATCTTGTAAAATAATTTTTTATTATTACATTTGTTTTTTGTTCAAAATTTCAATAATATCAATACAACACAATAAATATGAATACAAAGATATTGTCACTGCCTTATCAGAATTATCAGTGTTAAGGTTATAAACATTGGAAGATAGCAGTCGGACGCTACCGGCTATTAAACAAGTACCGAATTAGTAACAAAATAATCAAGAGACAGAACATAAATGTTAGGTTATTATAAGGGAAATTTTAAACAACACAGCTTAAAGCAAAGAAAAAACCCAACAACCTTTCGTTAATTCAGACATCATTAGGACAGAAAAACAGCTAACCAAATCTCACTCCATGAAATACAATTGCATACTGAAAGAAAGGTAAGACAACACAACAAAAGAAGGTTACAATAAAACAGCTGATCATACAGCTGCAGACATAATGTTGTGTGGTTTGGTATTAAATTTATTTTTATTTATTGTACATAGAGTATGGCTGAGCTACTCCATCACTTTTACTGATATTCTTTATTGTGACAAAATGTAATACTATTATTATTAAAAACAAAAAAAGTCGGTTTAGCTTACCCATTATAATTAGGTAAATGATTTCAGTACATTTCGTAATGATGAGAAAAGCGACCCTATTTAACTCTAGCGACCCTATTTAAGTCTGTTATTTAAGAAACTGTGACGTTTCTAAGTAACAGGCCGCTGACGAGGGAGAGGAAAATTCCGAGTAAGGAAATTCGTAAATTTTCTTATTAAGTGGTCACCCTGAGCGATGGGGGCTGATATTTGATAGGTTCGAAGATAGGAATATCGGTCCAATATCTGAGCAACCTATCAGATTTCACTGCACAGTAAAGGCATCCATCACACGTCTTGCAAGATCATGTCCCGACCATCCCTTTTCACCTCATCTTAGAGCGTCATAAGGAAAAAAAAAATCATCTTCGATCGATATCGTCTACTCTAGAGTACAAGATAATTTACGAAGAAGGAATAATTTTTTTAGCATGATTAACCGTACGAACGTTGCTATTTATATAGAATCCCATACTATAATACGAGCGATTCCTGTTACTTAAAAAGAAATTGTATTCCGGTGGCCTTTGGTTATACATTCAGATTAAGCGATTATGGGACTCATAAATCGATTGACCGAATCGTCAGTTCTGGGGAAATATTATCTTTTTAATGAAACAGAGTGAAACGCATCATTAAACCAAAATAACATAAAGCAGTAGTTGGTTCCGGTCAAATTATAATACAAAATCAATAAAAATACGCTATCAGGTAATTATTTTTCACTAAAATATGAATTTAATTTATAAATGTTAAATGTTAAGCTTATGTTTAGATACGCAAAAGGATACGTATAAGTTACGCAGGTAGCGTGAGTTTTTGTGTGGTTATCATAAACTGTACCTCTGTTATTAATTAATATTTAATTATATAGATTATGACAGTATAAAAATCAACATTTATAGCTAAGATTAAACAAATGAAAATTGAGACAGTGAAATATTAAAAGAAATTAGCGGAAGTAAAGATGACCCCTAATGATAAAAATATTCCTTTCCTATTTCCTTACACATTAATTAAACATTTCAATTTTATTTACAATCAAATGTTTACAATCCATATTTACATTTAAAGTAGAAGATTAAACTGTAAAGGATTAAAAGTCCATTTTTAGCGCTTCAATAAAAGGTTAAAAATACATTAAGGATTAAAAGTTCTAATTCGTTGTTTACGCTATGATTAAACTTACAAGTACCTAAAAGTAAGAATTGTGTTTGTTATGCAAACATTGCGAAGATTACATGGGTGTTGTTAAGATTATGCAAGTATTGTGTTAAAAAAATATTGTAAAGTATGTTGGCAAGGTAAATAATAAAAAAGACGTATAAAATAAAAACACAATGACAGCGTAAAGAAAAAAAAATGATTGTAATGTACACTGAGCCCAAGCAAAACCTCAGAGACATCAAACAGCAGTAAATATAACCTCAAGTAGTAAACAAATAAAACGATGCCCTAACGTAAATAAAAAGGTGGACGTCCACGTAGAACCTCTATAAAATGGATAAGATGATGTTAAGGTAAAAGTGGGAGTGGCCGAAATTCACGTGATTTATGAAATGATAAAAAGGAGCGTGATTGGATGATGAATAGTGTTGCCCAAATGTGAGACCGAGAGGAGTCTTGATCTTGAACTCTCAGTCTTGGTCATGGTCTTGGTCTTGCGCAGGAGTCTCGCAGTTACGTATTAGCTTATTACTATAGAGATATTACTGTAATTTTTTAGATAGGAGAAACCTAACTAAGCCCGAATGAAAAATTAGAGGAGTTAAATGCAAAAGTATATAGGTTATACCCATTCTTAACATAGAGTAACTTAAATTGTCGAGTATTGGTAACTATTTCGCGTTGATTTTTATTAAAACAATAGATTTTTTGTACCAGTTCTGGTCTTGGTCTTGCAGCAGTTAAGCGGCCTCGCTCTTGGTCTTGCAAAGTGGAAGACCAAGACCGATTTTGGGCAACACTAATGATGAAGGTTAGGTAGAACTGAAAGGGGCGTGGCTTTAAAGTAAAGAGAAAAAAAATGGACACAACTTCATTGTTAAAGTTAGGTTTAGATGCGTAAAAGGTGAACCGAGCGAAAGAGAGCGTTCCTCGTTTTAACATTCTTTTGTATATCGAACCTGGTTCGAATCCGGCCTGGGTTAAGTTGAAATAGGTTTGGTTGTATCGTATGTCGGAAATGGCGAGCTAGGTGGTTATTCATTAAAAAAATAAAAAAGATATGTAAAAAGTGGTATGATATGATTTAATGGAAATTAAAATTTGTTATGACCAAATGTTGGCTTAATATTAATATTAATAAATCCACCCACGTTAGTTTCTCTCTTAAGAAAGCCTCATGTCCACCCATAACGATTGCCAATAATCCAGTGCCTTCAAAGAACTATGTACGGTACCTTAGACTCTACTTAGACAAAAGACTTACTTGGAACATACATACGAAATTAAAAAGACAAGAACTTACTAGACGACATAGCCAAGTTTCACATCTTCTGGACTACAGATCTTCACTTAACTTACGAAACAAGCGACTGATCTACAA